CAGAATTAAGAAGTCGATCGAACGTGTTGCCCAGCAAGCGCACTGGGCGTGACTGAATACGCAGGTTCCCGCTAACAAGATGGAGATCGACCATGTCCTCGTCAGACCGTGTGTGTGTGTGAAGAGATGTGGAATAGAGCAGCTTCGCTCCTAGCGACGTTGATTTTTAGGCTGTGCTCGGCAGCCCATGTGGCCACAAGAGACAAGAGCGGTCGCATTGCAGCAGCACGGGCATGGATGTCCGCACATGAGGCAACAAGTGTGTTTTCGTCAGCGTACATGAATGCGGAGGCAGAATAGATGCTGCCCAGGCGGCGCAGCAGATCATCCACACAGTAGAGGAAGAGTTGGGGTCCCGGGACGCCGCCTTGCGGTGCTCCAGCTGAGGTGAGTTGTTTCCGGGAGTGCTGTTCGCGAGTGCATACCCTAACATGGCGGCCCCGCAGGTAGTTGTGCAGCCAGCGTTTGGTTCGTGGCCAAGGCGCGGAAGTCTGTCAAGCATGCAGAATAAATTCCCATGGTCAGTGGTGTCGAACGCAGTCGGAAAATCAATCAAAACCACAAGCGATGGCGACGAGGGCGACGTGTGGGGCGTCGTCTCCAGGGCGCTCATACTCCACAATGCCAAACCCATTCAGTCCACGGGTAATTTGCCGACAACAAGTGCCACCACGTCCGACGTAGAACGCGGAGGTGCAAATCCGAAATTGACGTGGGTGGTGCGGCAATAACGCCGACAGACGGCGGTGAATCATTCCTTCGGCTAACTTTAGTAAAACAGAGAGCAGCGTGATGGGTCTGTAACTCTCTGGGCGGCATGGATCCTTCCCAGGCTTGGGGATAGAAATAGCGTCTCCCATTTTCCAGGAGCCAGGCAGGCTGCCGTTTGCGAAGGAGTTGTGGATCATCGTTCTAAGTGTGCCACGCGCAACGGGCACGAGACGGTGCAGGAATTCATTCAACATGTCGTCGGGGCCAGGGGCTGAGCCAAGCAAAGAGTCACGGATGGTTACGTCAAGTACATACGGCGGGAAAGGCCGATCCATTTCCCAGCCACCAGGAACCAAAGGAGTGCAGCGAGCAGCAGCAGCAGTACAAGGCGGTATGGCACGTGAAACCGCACAAAATGACGGACAAGCAGATTTGCCTGTTGCCGAGGCAGGGCGCATACGCGGCCAAGTTCAGTGCGGAGCACAACCGATTCCAGAGGATGAGGGTGCGGCGCCGCCATGCCGTGAAGATATCGCCACCTCGGGCTGGGTGAGGCTCCAAGTCTTTTCGCGCGGGCTTCCAGAAGCACAGCGGAGCAACGGCGTAAGGCTTGATTTCGTTCCTCCCTTTTTTCGGGTACATTCGGCTCAAACCAGGCAGTCTCCGGGTGAGGCAATGTGTGTGCTTCGTGTGCTGCTTCGGCGGCGGACTCGGCCTGTTCCATTTCGTGTGTCCATATCTTTTTGGAGCTGTCACGGCTGCCGCGCGGGATGTGGCGCTCAGCTGCTCGTAAGATGCCTCCGCGAGGATCCAACCATGTGGACGCGGTGGCAAGGAGGGTTTCACACAACGTGGTGGAAGCAGGCTAATCCGCTTTACGCAGGGTAAAGGTGGCTTTCTTCCGTCATGGCAGCGTGTTTGCTAGTCGTGGAGTGCCATCGTCCATCTCTACCGAGTGAGATATTAAGCGGTGGTCCGAGTCCATGTAAGGGGCGAACGTCCAGTGGGAGATGCGTAGGGCGCAATACGCAGTCACGTCAGGGGACGAGGCATTACGATTTGTGATCCGTGTTGCCTGTGTCGGGTAATTTGCCAGCCCAAAATCCATATCGATTAGAACAGCGGCGAAATTATCGCCTCCAATCCTTGATGGTGTATATGACTGTCCCAGAGTTCACGATGTAAATTCAGGTCACCCGCGATAATCTCTTCGGGCACAAGCGACAAACGATATTGATAAATGCGGATTATTGACCAATTGCTGTGGGAGGATTGCAGAGATTCGCCACGCAAATGCTGCGACAGCCCGGTGGAAATACACGGACAGCAATGGTCTCCAGGAGGTCAGTGCCAGGGAGCGACAAGCGCTCGCACGGTAGAGAGTGGCGCACCAGAGTGGCAACACCGCGCCCAGTGAAGCCTGAAGGTAGTCATTATGGCCACATAATTTCGTCGCTGCTTCACCACGGTTACTTATTTCCTGCAGAAGAACGGTGTCAGGTGGACGCTGCTCCAATCGCGCCGCAAATGCAATATTTTTCACGGACGAGAGGCCTGCAATGTTAAGCTGCCAAACATTGATGTAGCCATCCTCCTCGGTGGCAGGGTTCTTGTGAAAGTCACCGCCACGGGCGATATCAACGGAGTGACCGCTGCGAAACAGTCGTGCAGTTCTGACCGACAGTCTGCAGGCAGACCGCCTCACCTCCCCACACCGGGCATGGCGTGGAACCTTCTCGGGGGGTGAAGTCACCTTGGTCTCCGTCGTGCTCGCAGCAACGCCCTGCTGCGGAGTTCCTATACGCAACCAAAGCCCCAACACCGCGACAAGGTGCAACGTCATCGCCGGGGACCGTGGATACTTACGAAGAATAGCGGTGTCGGCATTCCCACGTCAGCCGGGATTGGCATACTGCTCTCATCCCCGCGTTCCTCGGAAATAATAGAGAATGTCAGTACCAACGGCGGCACACGCCCATGCAGCCGCACGACGGAGTCCCGTGCGCTGCTCCCGGCCATGGAAAGGCTGAGCGTCCATCGTATCCAGCACAGGCGTAAAACCCTGCTTGTGGTTACAGACAGTCATTCCCTTCTAGCCGCCGTCACCAAGGGCCCGCGCAGTCATACCGAATGGACGGAGGATCTGGCAGCGTCTCTTGTCGCTGACGCGTGCTGGCTGGTCCGTGCACCTGCAGTTTTGCTACGAACATTGCGGAGTACATGCTAACGAGCCTGCAGATCAGCATGCGACGCAGACCACGGCAACCGGGCAACACACGGAGCATGGAATAGCACCCATACGGCACACGGACCTGCTGACATGCATTAACACCCAGCTCACCAACAAGTGGCGTAGTACCATGCATCAGGACACCCACCACTACCTGCTTGGCGGCGCAGGACATCAGATCCAGGCGGCAAGCACCTGATCACTCAGGAGGCCCTCGACTGACAGGAACGGATAAACACTGCACGGGAAGGGTGCGGGGAATCCGAGCTCTGGGGTCGCCTGTACTGGACTGTGAGAGACTGCACGAACCAACGCCGTTTCCGCAACGTATCACCGGAACAGTCTGCTTTCATGCGCTCCAACGACGATCCCACCGCACCGGGACGGAAGCTGTTCCCCCGACGACAAGGGAGGCCGACGCACCGCCTGTGGAGAGACGGCCCTCCACACGCCGTCGGAAGAAGAAATGCCCGCACTGTGACGCCACATTGGTGGGACACACGAACCACATCGGTCACTGTCGGTGCTTTCATCCGGAACGCCCACCACCGCTTCCCGACCTCCACCGCGATTGCTGCGACACAGTCCTCCCCACACAAAAAAAGCACCGCACAGCACAGAAATCGCTGCGCACACAACCCAGACGCTGATCGGCACCGCAGCAGCAGTGCCAGGAGGCAATCACTGCTACCGCAGGATCAGCCAGCCTCCACAAGCGCAACAATTAGCCCGCAGAAAACACTGCACCATCTGCTTCCGGAATGTACAGACGCTCTGGCTGTGCGCCAACGGCTGGGCATCAAGAAGGACCTTGGCACCGAAAGCTTCTCCCAATGGCAGCTGCCTCATAGCAGAAAACTCATGTCGCTGCTCGACCATCCCCTCGGCACCCTGATGACATCGTGTGGCTAGACATGTCGGTAAGAGCAGGGAAAAATAATAATAATGAGCATTCCCGCCACTATAGAGACGTGGTGCATCTTGCGATCTCGCTGGCGGCTCTCCTCTTCCACCGCTGTTTTTGCGCAAGAGGTCACCACAGTCATTTTTGTGGTTTGGTCGGCCTCGTGTTGTGCTCCGGGTTCTCCTCCTTCATCGCCCTGCGGTGCTTCCTTCGCCGTCCCTGGCACCTGTGACTGTCCCGTGACGGTTTGTTCCGAAGCCCGACTGCCCTGGGAGGTCCTCCCGCCACCAGCATGCACTCCACCCGCTGCCTGCTGAGATGCGTCGGAGCATGGGGATGCTGTGCCTGCAGCGTGCCCTCCGCCCAAAGACTCCGGTCCACTTGCACGCATCCGAGCAGCAGACGCGCTGCCAGTGCCGGACGGATTGCAAGTGCCACTTCGCAGTGGGTCGCTGCTGGATTGGTCCTGCCTCGTCGGAGCAGTGAGTGCTCCCGAGGTGGGATTGGGGTCCTCACCCACGGTGTTTCCTCCACCCTCCTCGTCTTCCTCGTCTTCCTGATTGCTATTGCCCTCAGAGTTCACATTCCCCCTTTCGTCCAGAGCCACCGGCCACAGGTCCACCTTCCGCAGCCATCACACCCCGCGCGTGCCCAGCAGTCACCGCGCCATCACCCGCGGCCGCACACGCACCCCGTCGCAGCAGCCCTCACTCACACGCACGAGCAGCTGCGCATCACTGCAGGAGCCAACAGGACGCAGAGCACACGGCCAGTCATCATCACGAACAGTGGAGTCGCCTAACGCTGCGGAGCCAACCTGCGATAGCATGTGAAAAACAAAGGGAGACACAGCCGCTACACCACGCACAGCCACAAATGATGGCAGCACCCCAGCAGCAGCGCACACACCACGAGACAGATGGAATCAGTAAGATTGCAGAGCTCGCACACCGCACCGCAAACCACAAGTTAAAAAGCAATAAAAAACAATAATTAAAAAAAGAAATTAAAAAGAAAAGAAAACAAACCCAGGGCTCCAGTGCGCATGCTTGTGAGTGTGTCCGCGATGCGTTCAACGTGACGGATGCGGGGCACAACGCGGAGCACACAGCACGGCAGCAGAAGCAAGTAAAGCAAAACAAGATCATTATTTCCTCTTATTTTATACAGTGAACCACAACACACGCACACAAATCCCCGCGGTTGAGTGCTGGCACGCACAGCCCGCACACACCCCTTCAGCCCAGAGTGGTGTACGCCAGCGCGGATGCGGCGAGCACCAGCGGGGCACACACCCACGCAGAGCTGCTGAGGCTGCCGTCGATTCTGCGAAGACGTGACGGTGCGCGGGTGGTCGACACAGCTGGCGCCTCTGTAGTCGTAGTACTTGGTGCCTCTGGTGCAGTGGTGGTCGTCGTGGTTGGTGGCTGTGTTGTGGTGGTCGTTGTCGTAGTCGGTGGTTTTGTTGTGGTGGTGGTGGTCGTAGTCGGTGGTTTTGTTGTGGTCGTCGTCGTGGTCGTATTGGAAGAAGGGGCGGCGGCTCCAGTTCCAGTCTGAGTGCCTGAAACGCACACGGACGGGCAGAAGCACAGGGCAAGCACCAACAGGGCGCACAGCAGACGGCACGTTATCATCATCGTGAGTGTGGTCGTTCAGTGGTGTGGAGCTGATCTGCACAGTGAGGGACATGGAGAGCAACAGGGGAGATGAGAGGTGCGGCAGACACACACAGAGGGCACACCACATGAGGAGAGGGCAGCAGCCAGGCATGCACCGTACGCCGCACACCACGCACGACACACACTCCAATCCACGGCAGCAGGCACACACACACACAGCCCTGCCGCAACAACAACACACAGATGGAGGAGAGAGAAGCAAACAGGAGCGGCACACAAGGCTCCACCGCATATGCATACGACGAGAGCGGTCCGTCGTGTCGGCACCCCTCACGGAGGGTGCGCACACACACAAGAAGGTGCAGCGCACACAGCAACACAACAGCAAAGTAACAATAAAAAAAGGAGATCCCCGCACACCACGCGGATTGTTGGTCCACGGGAAGTGCAGCCAATATTCACCACAAAAACACTTCAGTTGCCGTAGGCCTTCGTCCACATTCATCGCAGACCACTTCATGGGAAGCGCAGCCACCGCCGCAGCAGCCGCACACGTAAATATAAGCGCAAGGAATGGAATAATGCAAGCAATCATTTATTTGTGTTTCTGTTTGGATGTTGGCGGATGTGTGCATATGTTGGTTTTTTTTTTGTGTGTGCAAACCTTCATGCCTGGATCGTGTGTTTCAAGAATTTCCGCAAGGTGCGCAATTATTTGTTTTCTCTCGTGAATTTTTCTTGTGTTGGTGCAGACAACAATTCGGTGTGTGTTGTTCCTGCCTTTCGCCGGTAAAGTGCTGCAATAGATGTTTTTGTTTCCTTTCGTTGTCGTGGCACCTGATTCCTCACCGTTGATTGCGGTGGTAATGAAAATATGTGGGTGGACTCCCACGCACCAGAACGCACCTTCGCTCCTATTTATTGGTGCATGGAAGGGCATGTGTGTTTGGTGGTGCCTCGACCACATATTTTGTGGGCGTACATTCCCCTGCAGGCTGAGGGCGGGATGACGCTCCGTCGCGGTGCACTTCCCTCGCATGCCACCCACCGTGATTCATCATGCATCACCCCCTCACATACTCCGTGGTGCCACACCGCTGATATTATTGCAGCCGCTGTGATTCCGCGTACTTCGCGCATTCGATTGTGCCACGATACATCCGCTCGTGTGGCCGCCGCATCCAAACAGCGGTGCCCAACACCGTGAGCGGCAGTCCACATCCTTGCATGTCCCAACGCAGTGGTGTTTGACTGTCAGCCAGGCGCCAGACAACAGGAGAGTCTTGTGCTGGCAGTACAACACACGGAGCTGCAGTGAATGACTCGGGCGGGGACGCATCTATTTGTCGCAAGGCAGTGAAAAGGAGTCAGTCAAAGTAATGCCGGCTGCACGCACGACACCACATCCACAGCCAAAGCATGCGACGTGATGTGTGTTTCACTGGTGCTGTGGAATGCCTGCAGACGACGTCACTAGTGGAGGCATGCCACCCATGATCAGCGGACAGACAATAATCGGCATGAAAGGCCACAAGAGACAGCAACGACGCCAGCAGCAGGAGCAGCTCCCTCTCTCTCTGTTGCCTCCGAGAAGTAAATATTCCACCAGCCACAGCTGGCTGTGCCATCGTGACACTCCATGCACGTCGTGGCTGCGTCAACACATCCTGTTCCCTGCTGCGCCTCAAAAGATGCCTCACTCCGTCCACTAAGTGCATCGGTGTGGGCCGTGCCTCGGCTGTTCGTGAGGACCACAGCGATGTGAGGGTCACCGAGTCGCAGCATGTTTGTTGTGGCGTTGTTGCATGGCACCTGCACACACACACACACACGCAGCGCCCGCATCCCTCCCTTCTGTGTCCGCTCTCTGCCGGAGTGGCCACACACACGGGCAGCAGCAAAATCACTTCACCCTCGACAATCCAAAATCAACGCCGACATCCCTCGCAATGCAAAGATCTCAGTTGCCAGCACGGGCTTCTGCCGCTCTGCCATCGACGCTGAAACACGGCACAGTGCACGCACTTATTTTCCTCGTGTGCAGTCAGCCGTTTGCTTCACACATTCTTCGACGGAATGACGTCCACAAAAGCACGTCACAAAAGCCACTGTGATCGCACAAGCTCTTGCGATGGGCGTCGGTGTGTGCGTGCATCCGCTGCTCACACGTGCTGGAAGGCAGCCTGCAGCCGCTGCCCTCGTGCCAGTTCATCGGCTCCAGCACGGAAAAGAGAAAACGGCCCATTCCCGATGCACTTATTCCCACCGGCAGCACCAACACGCTGGGCGCCAGCCGTCATTCCTCGGCACATCCAGGAATGCCGAAAAGTGACGTGGAACTGTCAGCCAGCAATGCCACAATCCCGCACACATGTCGGCTCCACCAGAGAAGACACAAATCACAAACAACACCCTTCACATGTCATCCGAACATCATTCCGACACACCGCGACACGCCAAACAGAAGTATTCGTCACTCCAATGCACCTCCCCACACAATCACATAGTCCATGCACCACGCACGTCAGCGGCTCACACGCGGTCAAACAAATGTCCCTCGGATCAGTGGCCTCCACCTGCTGCGGTGGGAAGTAAACAAAAGAGACGAGCAGCCAAACCCCAAAAGAGTGCCACGACTGGCCGCAAGTCAACGGAACGCAGCCACACAAATGAATTCAGTCCTAATGCCCTCAGCCTCCCACCTTCCCCACAAAAGCTGCAAGGATTGAAAACAAACGCACCGTCCAATAAACTCTTTGTGCAAAGCCAAAAGAAGCCGCAGTGCCTCCTGCTGCCCTCACAGTCCGTTGATGACGCCTGGACGCGGATGGTCACCCATCGGTACTTCCAAACGACGCCGCACACCCGCGACGCATCCTGCGCTCCAAGACATGCGGCCCTCACTATCACCAGAGACGCCCACGCACCGTCAGCACGCAACAAATCGTCAAGGAACGAAGGATAAGTCAGGCTGACAGCAAGACACCCGCCGACAAATCACAGCACAAACATCATCACAAGCAGAACCAAAAGCAATGCAGGCCGCAGAGTGACGTGAATCAAATGACGCATGGCGTACGTAAAAGAAAAAAAAAACTCAGTGGCGCTACAAGAATACAAGAGGCTGACACTCTCTCAACAATAAAGGAACAGTATAATAATACACAAAAGCAAACAATTTGGGCGTCCACCGTCAAAGCAAGCCACGAATCGAATAAAAAGGGCAATGAAATGGGTGCACTCAACCACAAAACAATGAAAAACAAGTAAACAAAAAGCCGAAGCGTGGGACGACCAGCGCACACACACTCTCATTACTCCCGTAATGCAAAACACACACACAGAGGGAGAGAGAGAGAGGTCGCCCACTCAATGCAATAAAAACAAAACAGAAACCGTTACGGTGCTCCGCCCATGCAGCCAGGCAGGACGGCAGCGGTGCGTGTCGTGCAAAAGAGAGCACCAACGGGCCTGCATGGGTGTGCATGCATATATACAATGGGCACATTATTGTGTGTGCTTCGTGGGGTGAGGTGAGGGCGAGAGTCCATGCAAGGGGACACACACAGAGAGAGTGAGAAGGAAGAGTGTGTGTGCGGGCGGTGCACGGCTCTCCCACACTCACTCTCACGCGGCCACCACCGCAGCAGCAGCACACGCAACAAGAAGAAGCAAAAGAGGGGAGGTGGTGTGGGAGACCGCGGTGCTGCCGTCACTGTCGCTAACCTTTTCATTATCGCCAGTTTGGCGTTTTTCTGTCGCTGCAGAATCCGGAGTTCGAGCATCCTCAGATGTCTTCGTCCCCGTGGAGTGTTCCTCCTCAAAAGGGGAAGGTTCTTCGCTTGTAGATGGCTCAGTTTCTTGTTATTGACTGCCAGTTGATTTATTCTGCGCCGTACCTTCCGTGGAGGCAGAATATTCTTTATTTTCCTTTTGTAGTTCGGGTAGGTTCGTGGATGTATCCGTGCTTTGGCTTTCATTCGTCTTTTGTTCCGGAGTTAACACTTCATTTTGGGTTTTGTGCTCCGGCGGTACTGTGTTTGGCACTGTCGTTTGGACCTGTTCACTGCTTTCTGATTTTGTAACTGGACTGTTTAATAAGTCTTCTTCTCTGGGGTTGTGTGGATCCTCGTTTCCACTATTTTCCACTCCCAATGAGGACTGACCTTCTCCACCCTTACTGTTCTCGCCAACACCTTCACCCCTTTCTGAGGCCGGAGTGTGTGGCTGAGGTGCTGAGGGCGGTTGTGACTGTTGCGGTTGTGGCTGCGGTTGCTGTAGTACATTTAATTGCGCTTTTGGCGGTTGCCCTACTTCCTGTTCTTTATTTTGTATTTCTGGCTTTGTTTTTCCTTGTTCTGGAGCATTTTTCAAACGCTCTTCTAATTGCTCTGAAGAGCTTCTATCTTCACCCTCCACTCCAGGAGCAACAAACAGTTGATCATTTTTAACTTCTTTTCCTTCCAAAGATTTTCCTTCAGACTTTTCTGTTTATTGATTAACTTTGGGCAAACCTTTTTTGGATCTGAGCTATCTGATCCCGGCGTTGAAGTTCAAGTCGACCCCACAGCAACTTTACCACCACCGGCAGGAATCTCCACCACCTCCTCGTCACATCTACCGCCGGCACCGCACCACAGCACGCAGAGGGCACACACCAGCAGCACACGGCCAGTCATCATCGCCATCATCACTCCTGTCACTTGCGTTTAGCCTTCAGCACAAACCAACTCCCCATCAATGCAGAGCAAAAAGCAAAAGGAGAGACACGTCACTCAATCACGCACAGTCACAGATGGCAATGAAAACACCATGAGGCAGTTGGAATCAGTACAATTGCAGAGCTCGCACATCGCTCCCCAAACCAAAAGTTAAAAAAGCAATAAAAAAGGCACAACAGCAGAGTTGAGAGTCCGGTAAAATTCCCAAAAAGTAAAAAATAAAAAATCGATCAGGGACGTCCTTTATTTTATGTGCCAAGCAGCGCAACGTAAACGACCACTAGTTCTTGTATACGTAATGCCTGCAGTAAAAAATCAAAAAAGATCGTGCTTTTCCGTGAGCCCACACAACTCTCCTCACATTTCGTGCGTCACCCAGTCTTTTCTTCCAATCCTCCTTTCGTGCAGTCCGTGGGACGCACAGAAATGAGGCCGGCACCGCGTATGGGCAACGGAAGGAAACAAGAGGAGAAGCACGTCACTCATGACGAAGTGCAGCAAACGGGCATTGGGGAAAACACAGGGATGCCGATTATTCCAATAGGGCAAAAGCAGCAAAAATGAATAAATAAAAGAAAATAAAAAAACTTAAATTATTGACACAACTCATTGAGTGATGCTGGCAAGCTGTACAGTTATTGTTCCACGAAAAGCCGCAGTTCCACCCTCCCTCACACTTCAGCAGAGCGCCGCAGTGCCCCACAGCCCCAGAATCAAAAGCAACATCACCCGAGACACTAACCCATGCACGGCGATGTCACCAATTTCAGCCATAGCCAACAAATCCGTGAGATGCCCGTGCTCACAAAAACCGTTGCTCACAAGTGATGCTGCGTCGCACTCCGATGGGATCTCTGGTTTCCCAGACGTTGTGCGCAAATAGTCCTGTGCGGCATCAGCGCCACCCGACACGTTACCACTCGTTCAACATTTGCTAGGACTGTGCTGGGCTCAGGCGTGGCTGTTGTACCATCCAAGGGCTTTAGATCACTGTTGCTGCGTGAATCGGGACCGCTGTCCGCGCCCACGGCAGTGCGGGCATAAGTCTCCTATTCATGGCCAACGTGTTGTTAGTCGCTGGAAACTGTGTTGGCGATGGACGGCTCTTCTTCTCTCGCTGTGCGTGCGTCTGGATCCGCTGCGCTATTATATGACTCCACCACGACAAATGATCCCCCTGTGGAGGTACATCGTGCAGCAGCTGGCAGCCTCGCATGCTCATATGGGGCAGACTGCCTTGCGATCGAAAATGTTTTTGGACATCTCATACCTCCTTGTCCGGGAACATCCCAATCGCCCACACGAATGCTGGAGGAAACGGACTCCCTCTCGGCAATTGAAGCACCCCGCGTTGCCCACCGACCGTGCGAGACCGCGATACTGAGCAAATTTGGATTATGCTGCTTTCCTTGGTGAAGCGAGGTCACCCTGTGGATTTTATATTTTCTCATCACACTGCGGTATTCCACGCAGTGAGGCCGCTGACAAACAAGCCACGATTGCACGATCCCTCCCGCAGGACTGCGTCAATGCCTGGCACGTGGGCTTCCTTACCGCCGTCAAGAGGTTATAATGGAAGGATGCCCAGGAGGAAAAGGAAGGCGCGCACACCGCGTGACAGGCGCCTGTCGGTGTGGCGAGGACTCTGTTCCTGGTGTTGACCCGGACATCGGTCCCCGAGTGGCGGCACTGCGCACAGGCGCGATGCGACTCCTGCCCGCTCTTCGACAGGCCTGCACGCGCCCTGCGGATCACAAGGAACCCTCTGTGTCGGTGGTGCCGTCCCTCCCTGACTGCGGTGACCGGCCCGCCTCTGCCCCCGCCGGAACCTCTTCCCGACGTGAGCACCGCAACTCCTTGTCGACCAGCGAGCGGTGGATTGACGTCCTCCTGCCCAACCTGCGGCAGAGTGCGCTTGTCCGTCCACAGTATGAGGGCACATGCCGGACGTGCTCAGCCTGGCGTTATAATAGTTTGCGAGGGCCTCCCATGCGGATGCCACAATGGCTCGACCGTCTTCCTAACAGGCGCCTCGCGCGCAGGTCGCCACCGAAGTTGCCAAGCATGCCGGCAGGCAAGACACGCAGGAGGCACAAACGCGGGCACTCGAGATGGACCAGGCTCTTCCGCCACCGCCTCATCACGGACGCCACCGGCTGCTGATCCCCGACGGACCACGGGAGACTCCGCCTCATCCACTGCGGGAATGCCCTCGTCGTTGGGAACTGGGACTGCGACTGTGTGGGACTGCCCCAGCCCGCACGACGGAATACTTGCCACTTTTGTACGGACGGCCCTTGCGCTACTCACTCGTTATTGTAGCAGCATACAACCAAAACAAGATAACAATCTTCTTTGTGGTGAATATTGGCCGCACTTCCCGTGGACCAACAATCCGCGTGGTGTGCGGGGATCTCTTCTTTTTTATTGTTACTATGCTTTTGTGCTGCTGTGTGCGCTGCACCTTCTTGTGTGTGTGCGCACCCTCCGTGAGGGGTGCCGACACGACGGACCGCTCTCGCCGCATGTGCATGCGGTGGAGCCTTGTGTGCCGCTCCTGTTTGCTTCTCTCCCTCTTCCATCTGTGTGTTGGTGTTGCGGCAGGGCTGTGTGTGTGCCTGCTGCCGTGGATTGGAGTGTGTGTCGTGCGTGGTGTGCGGCGTACGGTGCATGCCTGGCTGCTGCCCTCTCTTCATGTGGTGTGCCCTCTGTGTGTCTGCCGCACCTCTCGTCTCCCCTGTTGCTCTCCATGCCCCTCACTGTGCAGATCAGCTCCACACCACTGAACGACCACACTCACGATTATGATGACGTGCCGTCTGCTGTGCGCCCTGTTGTTGCTCGCCCTGTGCTGCTGCCCGTCCGTGTGCGTGATGGCGACTGTTGACGTGAAAGAAAATGACTCCGGTGAAGTGCGCACACCAGATGAAACACTTCCGGGGAACACTTCTTTAAATCCAAATGCTCCCACAGTCCCGAAAGCGGGTACTTCAAAGGATACGGAAAAAACACAAGATTTGCCAACCGGTGGGTCGTCCACCGGTAAAGATGCATTAGGTGCGTCCGGTCAGACACAGTTACAAAGTCCTGGCGTTCCGCTACAGCCAACTACTGCACCAACCGTTGCGTCAGTTGCACAAATAGTGCCGATTCGATCCGAAACAGTACAGGAAAAGGGGGCGACTCCATCAACGACCACGACGACCACCACAACAAAGGCACCAACCACGACCACCACCACTACAGAGGCACCAACCACTACGACTACAGAGGCGCCAGCTGTGTCGACCACCCGCGCACCGTCACGTCTTCGCGAAATCGACGGCAGCCTCAGCAGCTCTGCGTGGGTGTGTGCCCCGCTGGTGCTCGCCGCCTCCGCGCTGGCGTACACCGCTGTGGGCTGAAGAGGTGTGTGCGGGCTGTGCGTGCCAGCACTCAACCGCGGGGATTTGTGCGCGTGTGTTGTGGTTCACTGTATAAAATAAGAGGAAATAATGATCTTGTTTTGCTTTACTTGCTTCTGCTGCCGTGCTGTGTGCTCCGCGTTGTGCCCCGCATCCGTCACGTTGAACGCATCGCGGACACACTCATAAGCATGCGCACTGGAGCCCTGGGTTTGTTTTTCTTTAATTTCTTTTTTTAATTTCTTTTTTAATTATTGCTTTTATTGCTTTTTAAACTTGTGGTTTGCGGTGCGGTGTGCGAGCTCTGCAATCGTACTGATTCCATCTGTCTCGTGGTGTGTGCGCTGCTGCTGCTGGGGTGCTGCCATTTGTTGCTGTGCGGTGGCTGTGCGTGGTGTAGCGGCCGTGTCTATCTTTTTTTCTTCCCTCTCTGTTGACGGGGAGTTACTTTTGGTGAAGGCTGCACGCAAGTGACGGGAGTGCTGGCGATGATGACTGGCCGTGTGCTGCTGGTGTGTGTCCTCTGCGTGCTGTGGTGCGGTGCCGGTTTTGGGAACGCAAGGGACGAGTACGGAAGTGAGGGTGGAGGAGATCTGTTGACGCGGACGAATAATGGTGGAGGCGACGGAGTGTCTCTAAATGCGGAATGCGGATTATTATCCACCTGAATTGGACTAATGAGAGCTGTCGAAGCTGCGGACGGCGATGATGCGATGAATGACACATCCTCAGCCCCTGCCTCAGCCGGCCACCTCAACGTGGTGCCAGGGTCTAGTACTCTTTGCTAGAGAGGAAGCTAAGCGCCTGCTGCCCATCCGCTGCACGCAGAGAGGCAGGAGGCGCCGCACAAACGGGTCGGAAGGGCACCAGATGGAGCCATTTACATGGCTGCCCGCGGAGCGGTATTTCTATCCGCTGCTGAATTCCATCGGCGCTTATCAGCGCTATACATACCGTTTGCGTGCCGTACGTGACGCGCAACGACAAAAGCTACTGCTAAGCGGAGACATTGAGCAGCACCCAGGCCCCATAGCAGTACTCCAGATGAACGTTTCTTGCCTCACGCCGTCAAAACTCGCAACATTAATGGCGCAAGGAGCCGACATAATAGCCATCCAGGAGACTTGGAAGTCGTCAGAGCAGATCGCCAGCATGCACACTGGAGATTATTTGCTCTATGCACAGTCGCGCATCGGCAAGGGAGGCGGTGTGGCGGTGCTGGTGCGGAAAACTCTCCGCTCCAAGCGTATACCCCTCACCATCCCCCAGCATGACACCAGCCTTGAAGTGGTGGTGGTCCAGGCTGCTCTGGACCAGAACCGTGATCTTATTGTAGCGAGTGCCCATATGAGACCACCACCGCAAGTAACGCAATCCTTCAGGCGGTTAGTAAACTGCCTTCCAGCCTCGTCGCCGCTCCTGCTGTGCGGGGATTTCAACATGCATCACCCACAGTGGGAGCCATTCTTGGAGACTTCTCCAAGCGAGGTTGCTGCAGAATTTTTAGAACTGTGCACGGATGCGGGACTCACCTTGGTTAACACCCCTGGTGAGATCACGTATGCCCGTGGCACAAGAGAACGATCCTGTATCGATCTGACATGGTCAAAGCATTTGACTGTGTCGGATTGGTCAGCTTCCGTGTCGCCGCTTAGTGATCATTATATGCTGACATTCACGCTGCATCAGGCATTTAAGGATACCATACCTTCGGCACCTAAGTTTTTCTACAGTTGGGGGAAGTGCAAGTGGGATTTATTCATCAAGGACTTCGACGCACAACTTCCGGCATACGACTATAAAAAGCAGTCCACCGGCATCAAAGCTTTCACGAGAGCGCTTATAACTTCGTATCGACGGCATTGCCCCCGCGGCATGCACAAGGACGGTCCCAGGCTTTGGGACGACACTCTCATGGAGGCAGAGCGGATTGCTACGGACAGCAAGGCCCGCTATCTACAGTTACCGACGCCCGACCGTGAGGCAGAAATGCAACGGACAAGGAGTCAATTCTTCCTCCTACTCCGAGAGCGCTTGCGCAACACGTATCTACGCCGCATCAGCAAGTTAAATCCAGGCGAGCCACTCGCATGGAAATACATTTCCGGACGAAAAAGGCATCACTTCCATCTCCCACATCAATGTTATTAGGAGATGGTCAACACACTTATAAAACAGCAAGGAGAGCAGCGAATGCTCTCAATCGCATCTTTCTTCCATTTCACCCCTCTCACAAGGCAGTTAGGTTTTCCAAAGGCATCAACAGACAGAGTGCATCTTTGAACATTAACGCTTCCTTTCTTTTTGGGCAGCAGAACAACAACGAGTCTGCCGCTACATTTACTTCAGGTTCTTCTACTTCTTCTAGTTCTGAGCCACAGGATAAAAACGAAGCTGCCACCACATCTGGTTTAGTTGCTCATCTTCACTCCCCTCTTGATGCACCTTTTAATCGTACGGAACTGCTTGCTGCGCTACGTACTACGCCGTATGGCAAGGCCCCGGACCGGATGAAGTCTACAGTGAGGCACTGCGACATATTTCGTCAAAGGGCCTCCGATTCCTTCTTCGTTGCATTAACCACAGTTGGACGACCGGTACGATCCCGGTTGAGTGGAGACGCGCTACCATCGTCCCACTCTTAAAACCCGGTATGTCGCCGGAACTGCTTGAGTCATATCGACCCATCAGCCTTACTTCCATTGTGAGTAAGGTTGCTGAGAAAATGGTACTGAAGAGATTGCTTTGGGTGTGGACGCCGCACCCCCACCAGTATGCATATCGTAGCATGCGTACCACGACGATGCAGCTGGCACACCTGATACACGAAGTGGAGCATAATAGAAATCATTATTTCCAAGTGAGCCTTCCCAAGAAGAGCGGTATTGGCAATCAACTCCACTACAGACCCCATCGGACCCTGCTGGTGCTGGTTGATTTCAGCAAGGCTTTTGACTCCATAGATCACCGAGTCCTCAGTCGCTTGCTGGCTAATATTCCGGGGGTGAATTGTAGAAGGTGGCTTAGAAACTTTCTATGTGGTCGCTACGCGAAGACACGAGTTGGCCACAGACACAGTGATCGGCGTCCCATGCTGCGAGGAGTTCCTCAGGGGTCCGTGCTGGGACCGTATTTGTTCTCCCTTTACGTACACCCACTTCTCAATCTGCTGAACGGCTTTGCGGGTGTCACAGCAGACATGTATGCGGACGACCTCTCTATTATCGTTAAGGGGCAGTCCCGGGAAGACGCCATTCCCACTGCCAACATGGTTCTTCAAAAACTGCATGCGTGGAGTCAGGAAAATGGCCTGGCCATCAACCCGTCAAAGTGTGAAGCTGCTTGGTTCACACTATCCACGCACACGGAGTCAGATTATGATCGTGAAGGAAGGTGGCCCCTGGTAGTGGCTGGATGTCAAATCCCAGTCATGACCATGGGGGCATCGCGAACTACGAAGCTTCTCGGCATGGATCTCGATCCACGACTGACGCTAAATGTGGCGGCCACCAAGCAATGCGCTGCCACTTCGCAACGGATATCGCAGCCACGCTGCATAGCGCACAAAGAGGCGGGACCATCTCCACATGACCCACGCACGTTCGTCATTGGATACGATGCTTCCAAATTACGCTATGGCAGCGAGCTCATATGGGCAGTAGCGACGGATTCAGCGAAGAATGAGATGCAGAAGACGTACGCAACTCTAGCACGCATTGTCAGCGGAGTTCCGAGCACTGTCGACCCGGAATCCGCACTGCTGGAGGCTAATATGCCGCCGCTCCACGTCCTTTGCCTGCGCGCGCGGCTCTCAATATTTGAGAACACACGCGCATGTCAGATGGACTGGATGCGGAGACCCCCGCCTGAGCCACCGCCTCGCGCCGGTTTCCGCATCTCGCCATTATCTCGGGACGAGCTATATGCCTTCGTAGACGCATACACAAAGGACTATGGCATCACCGAGAGCTCACCACGCGAAGAGCGGTTCTTTCGCAGCTCCATTCCTCCCTGGTCTGCGGCCTCCGCTCACCGGGTCACCATCGGTGTGGAACTTCCGATAGACCACTCAATAACTGACGAAGAAGAGCTGATACGGGAAAATCGCAGAGTCAGCGAAGAGGCTCTGGCGCTGCACAGCCATCGTTCGTGGATACTTGCGACCGATGGCGGTGTCGACGTTCCCAAGTCAGCAGGGGTTGGAATACTGCTTTCATCCCTCAACTCATCGGAGATAATAGAAAAGGCCAGCATAAACTGCGGTGCACGCCCATGCGGCTACAGGACGGAATCCCGTGCGCTGCTTCTAGCCCTAGAGAAGCTGATGATTCCTCGTATCCGCCACAGGCGTAAAACCCTGCTTGTGGTTACGGACAGTCAGTCCCTTCTAGCGGCTCTAAACAAGGGCCCGCTCAGTCAGACAGACTGGACGGAGGATCAGATCTGGCAGCGTCTCTTGACACTGACGTGTGCTGGCTGGTCCGTGCACCTGCAGTTTTGTTACGGACATTGCGGAGTACATGCTAACGAGCCTGCAGATCATGCCACGCAGACCACGGCAATACACGGAGCATGGAATAGCACCCATACAGCGCACGGACCTGCTGTCATGCATTAACACCCAGCTCACCAACAAGTGGCGTGGTACCATGCATCAGGACACCAACCACTACCTGCTTGGCGGCGCCAGGCCATCAGATCCAGGCGGCAAGGACCTGATTACTCAGGAATTCCTCACCGTCAGGAACTGGTTCACCTCGCAAGGGCAAGGTGCGGGGAATCTGAGCTCTGGGGCCGACTATACTGGGCCGTGAGAGACTTCGCGAACCAACGCCGTTTCCGCAACATCTCACCGGAACACTCCGCTCTCATGCGCTCTAACAACGATCCAACTGCACCGGGGACGGACACTGTTCCCCCGACGACAAGGGAGGCCGACGCACCGCCTGTGGAGGGCCGTCTCTCCACACAGCGTCGGAAGAAGAAATGCCCGCACTGTG